ATTGTGTCGCCGCAGCAATCATATTATCCAAAGGATTGGAATAATGACCTGGTGGTGTCGGCACATACTGAGGCGGAGTATTATTCAGACGGGATGGCTCCGTCGTGCGCGGTTGAGCCGGCGCTCTAGCCTCGGGCGCTTCAACCCAGTTTACCTTTGGTTGATTACTGGTCCCCGCTCCGGGCGTGCAAAAGAAATTCCTCGCCTCATAAACCGGCGGCAGACGACTCCGATGCCTTCTTCTCATGATTTCATTTGAAGTGTTCTGATCCAACGAGAGCCGGAAGGAACTAGCCTGGATTCGTTGTGCCTGAGCATCCAAAACATCTCACTTCGCTGTCATCCTAGCATCCTCCGCCGCCAGGTATTCCTTCGCTTGCGCAACCTCGTCATGTAGTTTTGCAATTTCCGCATTATGCTGAGCTTGATTCGCCGGGTTAACCTCTGTTGTTAACAATGTTGTCAGTTTATCCAGTAAATCCGTCAAAACCTGAGCCGACGGGCGCACAGGGCCTCTTGCCCCGGTTGCCATCATCGTCGCTAACCCGAAAACCATTGCTGTCGCAGTCGAAGAATTCTGCCCAGGCTGTGTACCGGCCATGAAGATTGCAACCTTGTCCGGCGGCTCATAGGGGTCCGAAATACTATCGCCATCGGAATAGCCCCCAAGCCTGCCATCTTGCATTTGATACAATGAAGTAGTCTCACCCGTGGACGACTCACCATAAGAATAGATGGTCGTCTCACCGCCAGACATAGATCCTTCATCAAATTCCGCCCCATGGATGAATCCCACGAAGGCATGTTTCATGGCGGGATGAGCTCGGGCGGGTCTTGCACGCTGAGCCGTCTCGATGATGTCGGTGCAGATGTCCAGCTCAGGGCCCGCCTTGCTGATCTTGCTGATGAAGACGTGAATTCCGCCGAAGGGGACCCGGTACCCATACTCAATTGAGTCGGCCTCGGGGCCCCAGCCTGCATCATCGATGTAGAGCTTGCCGCGATGACTCTTGGTCATCCGACCCATAACGTATCCCTTGATCCCTTCGAAGCTGCCCTTTAAGAACTCGAAACCACCGTGCGCTCGCCCCCATGGTGGGCGCCAACTGTCGTGGAATAGTCACGGCAGATGTCCTAGTGTGAGGACTTAGTCATGGAGCCATCGCAACTAGGTTAGCTTAAAGGGGTTAAACGGGACAAAGGACACATGATTTTATACTAGTTCGGCCCCTTGCGGTGAAGGTAAAGGCCTAATCCAGTTTGAGATGGTATTGCTTATGCCTCGATTACCAGGGAGCAAATACGCTTGACCTAGCTTTCAATCTCTTATTTTCTTGCCCTGAACCGCCACCGGGTCGTCCCTTTATATACACAGGTTGACGCCCAGCGGCTCACGGAGTCCCGGCCGGCTCATAGACAACGTGTCCGGCTCGGTGACTAAGTATACTTGCCTTACAATATAAGTCACACACATATGGCGGTTTACCCCTATGGGCCTTAAGTCGCCCTTTGGGCCTTGGGCCCTTGCTTCGTGAACCGCCATCTTCAATATCCTCATGGGCTTCATATTATGAACCGCCATAGGTACAACCCGGCCCCTCCTGGGCGGGTCATACCTAATAGTCATATCCCCAACAAGCGCGATGCGGAGCCGGCCGATGTGGAGGAGATCACCCTCCGC